TAAACGAAGTTCCTTAACAGCAACCCAGTAGCGTACCAAAGCCAGGGAGGATGATCCGACCCAATAGAATGTAGACGACAACCAGCATGGGATAGTCAGGCCTGGCCAAGGACTTAGGGTTTGAGAGTTTCGGGTTCTAGGGCTTAGAGTTTAGGGAGGGTTTCAACACCCTAAACCCGAACCCCCCCTAATTATTATGTAGCCATTTCCATTTTCTTCTCCATTATTTTATAATCCCAAACCCCTAAACCCTTCAAGTTCCTTAGCAGCAGCCAGCATGGGACAGCTAGGCCTGGACGCTTGGTGATGTAAATTTTCCATCCTTTGCAAGGCTCCGTACCCTTGCTCGTAGTCAAAGTGACCTGGCCATTCCACAATTTTTCCAGAGATTTATTTGAAAGCAAGATGCTGCACCGTTGAAACCCTAACTAAGTTCATGGCCCCTAAACGCTGAACCACGCCAAACTCTACGCTCTCAGTCTTTAAGCAAGGCGAACAAGGATCCGAAACCCTACACCCTAAACCCTCAACCCTAAATCCTCATCCTGAAGCCGTCACGCTTGGAGGGCTTTGGGACTTTCACGTGTACATGGGGGGTTTTCATTGATTGGGGGTCCGTAACTTAAATCCCACACATCAACCAGCATGTCCCCCACACCCCTAAAATCCCTAAATCCTAACCTGTTTGACAACTTTTCCCATCCTCGCTGCTCTCAGCATTGTATTCCTGAAAACCAGGGTGTTCCTGCACACACTCCGACCGGACCAATTTCTTCTCGGTCTCGACCTGCTCCTGCCAATTTATGCTCCAGGTTTTAGGGTTTAGGATCTAGGTTTTAGGGGTTTAGGCTTTAGGAGGAGGAATGTCAGGATGTAATTAGGGTTTAAGGTTTAGGGCTTACGAAAGTTTACTTTGGGGCTTTTCAAGCTTGGCTTAACCCTAGTTTAGCCTTGCGACTCCTCCGTCGCCGTGTCCGCGCACTCATACGTCGCGGAGACCCTTACCATGGCCAGGGGATGTGCGTCGAAACCTGGCGAGTCATACGGGCTGTAGTCTAAACTCCTTTTTTGGTTTGGGGTTTAAGGCTTAGGGTTTAGGGTTTTAGGTTCAGGGCTTAGGGTTTAAGGTTTCGGGTTAAAGATTCAGGGTGCCATAGTCTACACTCCTACTATCGCCCTTAATACCCCCTACCATGGTCCCCTTTACAACCCCCTATATTACCCCCTTCAAGGCGTTTAGACTATAGTTCCATGTACATGTTTGGCCCTTTCAGGCTAAAACCCCCAACCCTAATCTGCATGAGCTGGGATCGTGCTGCTGATGATGATCATGCCTAATCCCTTCCCATAACGTATTGGGTGATCTTTCTGCTGGCCTTAAATTTCTGGAAAAGCCTGGAAGGCTACTTTTGAAGAGGCAAGACTACTGTGAGAAGGGGTGAATTGGGGGAAGGGTTGAGGAGGCAGTAGTGGGGCTCTGTGTTTGGAATAAGAGATTACGGATGTCCTTCATTCCCTAAGGAAGTCTTGATCTTATCATCGTTAAATGTATGTAAGAAAATTTTCGGGGAATGTATTAGAAGTAGGGAATTCCTTGCTTGTTTCCTTTCTAAATGTGGACTTATGCGAACGAATATTACGGGAATTTTGGAAAATTGGGGGGCTTCCTGCTCCTAGAAAAATTATTGGCTTTGAAAGGTTTCTGCAATAGCAGTTTTACAGCTACTGAATTGCAATGATTTTTCAATTTGATTTTCCATCATGGTCTCCACACATTTTATCTCAATCGCTACCACCCTCATGCTAAATATATGCTTCTTTTTTTTCGGAAAAATAAATTTGATATTAGGGGGGAAGCGTTTTAATTTAAGGGGGAAGCGATTACTTTTAGCCTTTCATTGTTAGTCCATATTGATCTAATTGAAGCCTACACTTTGGGGCTTGTTGGGAAGCAACGCAACAGAAGGCACCAAATTGGAGCTATAGTCTCAATTCTTAGTATCCGCCTTTATCCCCTACAGTAGTCCCTTATATAACCCCCTTTTCAGGAGTTAAGATTATGGCCCAATTTGAAGACCAAGGAACCTGGGGGCTCCAGCGGCGAATCCATCCAACTCGCGTAGGCAAAGTCCCGGGCCGTGGTTTTAATAATGGTAAAAACTTTCCTGGTTTGGTTTCCTCCCGGTCGGAGGAGTTTGCGAGTCTTCGCCTCTGCAATGTGCTGTATCCTGGGCTGCTGTTAAGGGACTTAATTTAAGTTACTATATTGGGAAACCCTATTAATGACTATATACATATATATATATCCAGCATGGCAATTTTCCTTCCTTAACAGCAACCCAGTATCTTGGGTGCGGCACCATGCAGCTCTTCAAGCAATTGCTGGGCGTCGTCATGCGTCAGCGCGTCGGGCAGCGCCCTCAGCCCCTCGTAGATTTCTCCCACGTTCTGGAAAACTCATTGGAAAGCGATGTGGAGGGCGTAGAAGAAAACTAGGAAGATGATGCACGAGATGACCGCTTTCTGAACATCGCCTTTAAAAGAGAGCCCATCATAGAGAAATTTCAGCACCCCCGAGACCATGATAGACAGGACCAAAAACTCTTCGATTGCAGCTGCGACAAAACCGCATCCGATAGTGCCTGAATTGCACGCAGCTACGAGGCAGCATTCGCCTTCTGGTCCCGTCGAACTCCCCGAAAGTGCCGACTTCTCGTCTGACTCCGAACTGCTCATGGTGCAACTGGCTGACTGCGCTTTGGGGTAGGGACCCCCCGTAACCCTGGAGCCGAGAGCTTTAAACAGGACGCTGACCTAAAGGAATCCTCCATGAGGAAAGTTGTTCATGCCATGGACCAAACAAGATACTCTACCCGTGAACCTGAAGTATGGCGCAAGTTGCGGTGCGGACATAGAGGTACGCGTATGGGGCGACAGCTATCAAGGAGTGAAGAGGGCCTAATTCAGGCTTCTAAGGCTCAAGGTCAATCAGGCGGCTCTGAGTATATCTCCAACTACTTTGAGCCTGTTTTTTTTGTTGCCTAGGTAGTTGTCTGAGAATATGGTAATACGTCTTGCCTGACTGCACAACCCGTCTAAGGACAATGACGTAAGACTTGCACAGGGGCCCGGGGCTGGGTTGTGGTGCGCGAGCATCGTACTTGCGAACAGCACGCTAGCAGAATAAGTCATTCCTGTTGCAGACCTTGTAACATAAGCCTGAAACGGCTAAATCGATGAGTAGTTCAGCATGGCCTTCTTGGTGGAGCCAGCACCACACCACCAGCTTGGAGAAACCTTGAAAGCCTTGGCGCTTCTGTCAGGTCCTGGCGCTCAACCACTTACCATCAGATGGGCACTTGCACGTGCTGCACCCCGCGCCAGGGTGACTAAGCCACGTGCGGCTTCATAGTCTGAAATCGACCTTCCAAAAGAGACTTGCGAACCACTCTTAAAGCAATCCGTCTGCATCCTGCCTCGTACTCTTCGTGGACATCCTTCTCCTGAAAAGCGCAAAGCGGACACACAGACACAAGCGGGCTTTGCAAAGGTGGCTCCAAAGGCTCGAGCGGGGCGGCAACAGCAGACGTTGAGGATGAACCATTTGTCCACATCTCGGACCAGCTTATCCCATGTCATCGGAGCCTCGCACGAGCAAAGGCAAAAGGCTTCACAGCACTCGCGGCCAACAACAGCGTCCTGCTCCACATGCATGTTCAAGCTCTGGAGTGCAGGAATCAGAGTTTTCAGCGTGAGACCTCGGTTCTCCGAAGCAACTGCCCCGAAACAGCAAAAACTGGTTGGCATCAACTTCAGCGCGGGACCCCACATTGCGGCCACTTTGTGCAAGCTTTGGAGCTACTTTGAACACAAAAATGGCTGCCACACAACACCAGAAGATGGGGACTCCAGAAAGATCAGAGTACCCGTTACCCCCGACCATCCAAGCAATCTCCGACCCGATGCTTTTACACCTGGGCCATGCCTGCCGTGCGTGGCCATGCGGAGGTCGGTCGGACTCTGAAATTGCAAAAGAAGAGCTACCAATAGGTCCCGGGCTTTCAGGTGGTCTTGGGGCAATGACCTGATGAGCTCAGGGATAACTCCTGAGATGCAACCAACGGCCCGACAGCTGGGTCGCCTGCAATCTTGTCAGCCATCTACTGTTCGCGTTGGTACCCTTGCCGAGGTGCGACGGACATGATGGAACAGGAGCAACATGCGTGCCTACCTGGGCTCGAGTCTGGGTCGCAAAGGCCTCAGGTATGTGAGACACGAGAGAAACAGCCAGGCAAACCTTCCAATATCTGAGCATTCCTGCATCCAACCTCCAAAACACGGCCATGCTGCTTCGCTGAGCGCGGCGCAGCCAGAAAGGAGATCCCACCACAGAGCGTCAGAAATTTTGATTTCTCGTTCGAAAGTATATGTTCAAAGGGGCGGATGTCTACTTATGACAAAGAGCTCATTCATGGCAGCATGTTCGAGTTCGTGCTGCGCAACTCGAGACTCGGAGCCTGCTGACTTGATCTAAAACAGGCTACAGCAACAGCACAACATGGAGCAGCCATGAAGCACAGCATGGAACAAACTTCACATCATGGCGTGGAAGTGGCTGACTTTTCTGAAAGCAAAACAATCATGGACTAAAGCTACGGCTCCTAGTGCGGCTCCAAAACTCCGATGCCTAAAACCAAGACGAAACTTTTTGGCTGTCTGCTGGTCCTGTCCTGCGTGTGAAGGCTGTGCGAAGGCTGGTGCCATCGCTGGGGCGCAGGGATTTGATCCCGGAGCCGTCCAGACGAAAGGAGCCTACTATTCCAATACACGGCTGTCGACCAACCCGAAAAGATTACAGATATGTACAAATTCGTTTAGGAGCCTGTTGTAGGTCCGCAAAACTATCCGCATCATGATGCTAAAGTGGCGCCCACAGCAGTTGCAATTTCTTCCAAGCTTTTTGGAAATATCAGCCAATAAACCTGAGATATGTACTTGCATCACTGGTTTTGGGCGCCCGAAACCTCCTTGTCTGCATCTTCCAAAATTTTCTGGAGCTTTCCCTTGAGAACATCCAGCGATTCAGGCGTCGGCACGTTCGGGCAAGGCTTGAGATTCAATCTCTGGGCGATCTTGTGCTGATACTTTGCGAAGATGTAAAGGCGAGCTTCGTAGTTTGCCATCATTTCCTGAGGGTACTTGGCCGAGGGTTTCTTCCAAGTTAGGTACTGCTTGCTGAAGTCTGCATAGGGAATGGCCGGCTTAGAATGGTCAGCATCCGGATAGAACGTGTCACCGTGCTCAACGTGCTCGGTGCAGGTCCTCACACAAAGCTCTTTAGAGTGAACATAGTGCACACCCGCGAGACCATCGGGCTGGTGCAAGCAGTTATGCTGTCCATCATGGGACTCCGCTTCCATACACTGCATTTTACACATGGGGCATCTTGCGCTGCAGCGGGGTTTAGCTGCGTCTGCAACTTCTTTTGCCACAGCACTCATGTCTTGGAGGATATCGTCCACGTCATTGATGCTTGGAGCCTCAGGCCAGTTGCTCTTCACTGTGGAGATGATGCCATCGAAGAGCTCCTGTACTTCTGAGTCTTGCATCTCAGGGCCATCTGTGAAGAAGTCGGAGATTTGCGACCAAAGCGTTGACGGCAGGAACTTGTTGAGGAGGTGCGGAAGGTCTTTGCCAGCTTTCACAAATTCAGCTTCATCTGTAAGCGGAGCCTGTGAGAACACCACCAACTTCATGGCGTCTAAAGCATAAGTCGTCGCCTTCAGGCAATCGGCTTTCATTGTTGCAGGTGACGGCACTTTGAGCTGAATCTTCGACCACAGGACGTGCTTGTGGTGACTTTTGGAGTTGTACATCAGCAGATCGAGGCCCTTCTCTTCGTCTGCTTCCAGCTGGTCAAGTAGGTCCAAGTTGATAGCGGCAAACAGCACCTGAGCCTCCGTAGCAGCCGGCACTTGCGATAGGCAGGAAGATGTTCGACGGAGCGTTTGTGCCCGCATGTAGTCCTTGGCAGCCTCGATCACATCATTGCCGATTTTCTGACCGAAAGCATGAATGCTCAGGACACCAGCACAAAGTGCCTCGAACCTTGCCAAAAGCTTAGGCCTTTGAGCCTTGACTTTGCAAAGCGGGCTGTTTTGCTGCTGCCACTCCTTATCCGCTTTGGCCAAAATCTCCCCAGTCTTCATCATGATGTGCATGGTGAAGCGCTTCTTCTCACTGTCAGTCACTTGTAAGGTCTGGGAGTCAAATAGAATTTGTGCTGCCTTGGCGGCCTCTTCCACGCACTTCTCTGAAAACGGCCCTTTGTGCTTCCGGACTTTGTCCAAGCAAGCAGCCGCGCGCTCAGCAAGCTCCTTCAGTTGATCCTCCTTGTCCCTTTCCAAGCTTTGCTGGTAGCTGATCTTTCTCCAGACGTTTACAACGAAGTGCCCAGCATCATTCAGAAAGCTCAGCAAATGCTGGCCTTGCTGTTTGGCACCAACATCAGTTTGCAGCACCAACTGCCTAGGCCACTTGTCTCGCACCCTTGCAGGTATGTCGATATGAGCGGCGAGGTCGTTGGTAGCCAAGGATTTCAGCTTCTTGTCGAAGGCTTCGTCAAAGACCTGCCTTCGCTTGTCCGCGCCCTGCTGATCCTGTCTGCGGAGACAAGGTCCCAAAATGGGATCCTTCAGCTTGGCTTTCACCTCAGTCATGATGTCCTCCATTCCTTTGCCTTCCACTTGCTTGACCTCGACCTCCGCTTTGTAAGCCTGAGAGACATTCGATGTGGCCTCATCTATGGAAGCTGTGATGTACTTCTCAAAGTTCCTCTGCTCCTCCTCCTGCAAGGATGAATACTGTGGGTTTTGAAGGAACTTGGCCACCTTGTCCCTGACGTTAGACTTGCGGATGTCCTTCTCAATGTCGCTCTTGAGTTTGCCAAGCATATCTTGCACTGTGGGAATGGCTTGACCGCTGTGCAGCTGTGCTTCGGTGGCTTCCTGATGCTTGGAACAGATCGTGGCAATCACGTGGTAGCAATCCCGCATCATCTTGCGGCAGCTCAGTTCGAGCTTCAAGCGAACAAGGCTGCTGAAGCTCTGCTCGAAAGAGAAGCTGTCAAGACACTCGGACACAGACTCCACCACCTTGTACCACTGGTTAAGGTCTGCCGCCTTGAACCTGGACTCATTCAAGGCCTTCTGAATGCGGCAGCGGATCCCCTCCACCTGCATACCGTAGTCTTCGTAGGAGGCTTCTGTCACATGCCTCATGTGGCTGCAGTAGTGGAAATCTTCCTTAGTAATTTGGAATCCAGAGTTTTTGGCACCAGCGCCACGCTCCTGGACAAGTTCCCTCCATTGCGCCTCGACACTGTCGATCAGCGCCTCGCGAACGGTCTTCAGCTTGGACTTGGCTTGCTCCGCGTCAATGCGGTTGTAAACGACCACGTTGCATCGGGTCATTCCAAGTTGTCGCAAGAATGGATCCAACGCCTGCTTGACAATCATCACCTGCGGCAGCACAGATTGCATGAAAGTATGGTCCTCATTGTTGTTGAGGAGGATGCATACATCTGCCGCTAGCATGCAGAAGGTGGTTAGGCGATTGTTGTGCCATGCATCCCAGGTTTCATGCTTGTTCAATGGGTTGCATGTACCCTCAGAATCTAGAATGAGTGTGTAGTCCGGGCGTTCTCCAAATTCGAACAACCACTGTCCATCCGTGCTCAAGAGGGCCATATTCACACCACGAGTGCATGTGCCAACGGAAGTCCTCATGTCGCATCCAAACATGGTGTTGATCAAAGTGCTCTTGCCGCTACTCTGGACACCGCAGATGCTGATCACAAGAACCTTGGCTTTCCGCCCGTGCTTCCTCTCCAGCACTTGATCTAGCTCTGCGATCACGTCATCCATGAAGTCCCGGTTGACGGCGCAAGCCTCGCCGTTCAACAGCTCGAGCACGCCGCCGTTTGCAAGATACCTTGCGGCATGAAAGGACTACTCACGAGGGGCAATTGAGCGTCGCCGGCTGGCATGGATCAGCCCGACTTCACGCCACAGGTGTTCCAAGCCGGTTCCGGCACTTGCCACTGCTTCCTCGGCATCTTTGAGCACCTGACGCGCTTGCTCCTTGTCATCTCCTTCCGTGCTTTGTTCGAACCTCTCCCGAGCTCGTGTCCTTGCATCCAGTTTGGCTTCCAAGGCAGGGGCTTCGCAGCGGCCCATTTCCATGGCCAGCTCAATCAGGCCTAGGAGCTGCTCATGGCGGGCACTGCTTCTAAGGATCCGAAGCATCAAGTTCACGATCGCGGGCGGTGCCTTCATAGCTTGCTCACCTCGCTGCTTCTCAGACTCTTCAACCTTCTTCTTCAGCTCCGTCACGACTGAAGGCCCCAGCTTCGCAGTGATGATGTCGCGGCGATAGTTGTGCTCCTGGATGTAACTCTGACTATGCCGAAGTTGTTGCCGAAAGCTGACGTAGTGGTTTCTCTTGAAGACGTGCGCAACCTCTGCAGCAATCTCATCAAGAAACTTGTCTTCCTCTGAGTCAGCAGGCAAGGGGGGCCTTTGCTGGGAGCCATGGGCTCTCAAAGTGTCGGCAAGCTTTTGGCGAATGCACTGCTCAAGCTTCTGCCTGCCGAATATGTGATTGCCTTCGATTTTCGCTTTGCCTCCGCTGTGCCACCACCAAAGCTGATGTCGCGCCTGGCTAGCATCTGTACTAGAAGCATCAGGCTTTCCGCAAGTAAGAACAATGTCCACGCCTGCAAGAGCCTTGAGCACATCCTTGCCCAATTCTGCCACTGGGCCATAAATGCAAAACACAAGTACCTGTGTCTTGTCAAGACGCCCGCGGCTCACAAAGGCTCCTCTGAACGCTTCATCCTCCTCTTCTGATGGGAAGGCTGTGTTTAGGACCTTGTTCACCATCTCAGCATTCAGGCTATTGCATGCATCATCATCCCCTGGAGCACCTGAACAAATGCTTACAATGCGGGGCAAGCTCGTGTCAGTGCAAAGCCTGCTGTCGTTGGCCTCAACGTATCGCAGGCATCCCATCGACAAAACACTTTGCATCCGGCAATTTCCAGGAAGGGAGGCATCAGCGAGTGGGATCGGATATCCTATCTTGCGCAGCTTCTTGGCCACTTGTGCTTGTTCGTGCCGATCGCCTCTCTGCAATAGCTCCACAAAGTTCTTGGCTGTGGAGTTTTTCACCTCCAGTCGCCGACTGATCCGGTACCCGAAATCCTTGGGGACGGTGGTATCAGAAGGCACAGCAGTGTCGGATGCCAAACGCCAACCCTCCTCGGAGTCCGGAACGCTCACGTCTGCAGTCTCATTTACATCGTCATTCTGCCATGGCTTCAGCCTCCAAGCACGAAGGGTCTCTTCCAACCCTACGTCTGGAGTACGCCGGATCACTCTGACCTCCTTGCCCGCGACGAAGACGACCTTTGCGGTGCAAAATAGGTTGTCGCTGTGGAAGCACACCATAGAGCCCACTTCAAATGATGGAAGCTCGGCTGCTTTCCTGAGAAGCTTGCTCATACGCTCCACCTGGTTCTCCTGCGAGCAGCTACCGAAGGGAAACGTCAACGAGTCAGGGTCAAAGCCAAATTCTTCAAGCAAAGCCGTTTTGAAGTCTGAGACAAGCTCGTTGCTGCCATCATCAAAGCACAGTATGCGCAGCGCAACCAGCCTTTGAACCTTCTGACCACGTTCTACAGCTGACAGTGTAGGGTCGTAGGCCAGTTCCCTCAGCTCCTGTGGCAAGTTCTCAGGTTCACATGGAGTGTCCGCAACAAGGTCAGCAGGCTGATGTTCGAAGAAATCCATGATCTCCTCGCGGTCCTGCCGAGGTAGCTCGTCTCTGCATCTACACAATCATGGCATAGGATGTACAGCAAGGAATCAGAAAGTATGAAATACGCTGTATACATTTTATAGCGAACACATGAGTGGATGATCCGGCAGCCTCTCACTTGAATGCTACCCTGCATGACCCTTAAAAACATGGCGGCTGTCCTTGGCCAATAGCTTCCTCAGCTCGGTCTTGAGACACTCCTCCCTGAAGACATACTGAAGAAAGCGTTGACCTGCTCGGAACACGGTGGCATCCGGCGACGCCTCATCCAGAGATCCACGTATGACTGCAAGGATTGCCGCGCTGAAGTTCGGTCGCGCCAGAAGTGCCTTCAAAGCACCCACTGGAGGAGTAAGAAAGCTCAGCTTGGACTCAATCTGGGTTGCGGAGACAATGACGTGCTGTAGCTTAGCCACCAACAGGTATGGCGGCAAGGTCAAGGAATCTGTCAATTCGGAATCGGCCATGAATAGAAAAGCCTGCCGAGCTTCTTACATCAGGGGCTGGTCAGAGCCGGCATCATCATCTGAGAATTTGCTCACCTTCGCTAGATCGCCCAGAGCCATGTAACCAACTCGTGTCTGCATCCAGGCAAGCTTCAACATCTGGGCCTGCTCAGGCATCCCTTCCTTCTCCAGAAGTTCCCAAACAGGAATGTAATCTTCAATCTGTCCTCCCTGCCGATCAATCAAATGCCAAGTGCCGGGCGAAGATGACAGCTTCTGCTTGAACAGGTCAGGGCATTGAATGTTCGGGCCAAACATGGTGACCTTTGTGCGCTTTTCAATTTGGACTTTCTCCGTGTGGTCGCCTTCCGCCTCACCTTTCGCTTCCACCTCTGAGTGCTCCAGTGAGGCACCGCCAGACACTCCAAAACCGCTGAAACCCGCTGATGCGCCGTGTGATTGCGAGTCTGAAAAGGCCTTCATCATCTCGACAGTTGTGATCTTCCTCTTAGAAGATGCTGTCTGATTTGAGATCCAGATGCCCCCCACGACGTGCAATCCTGCAAACACGTGATCCCCACGAATCGTCAGGAATTTCTTGGCCTTCTCAACTGAGTCGGTGATCGTCTTGGCAGCCTCCTTTGCCTCAGAGGACAGCATAAGCGCATCCCTCGGAATCCTGAAGGCACCTTGTGGAGAGTAGACGTATGTCACTTTGCTTCCGCAGCTGGTCGTCCCCTTGTTTTGATTCAGGCTTTCGTTGTGCTCCTCGTGCGCTCGTGCATATGTATACGCCGCCTTCGCGCCGAATCCCTCGAAGTTGGCGCTGACTGCTGTCTGCCAACCTTGACACTCCACCTGCTTCTCGAAGTGGGCCGTGTGCTCGGAACAGTAGTTTATGACAGTACTCTGCTCCCCTGGTGGCGGCCCGACCCACTCCACGCAGGGAAAGTCTGCAAGCAGTGGATGCGTAGGCTGTTCATTCTGAAGCACCGGTTTGTCTGGTGACAGCCGCACAGCATGTCGAGCAAGCCCCCCACTGGCTCGATTGGCTATCTCCTCAGGAGTGCTCCACTCATTGCACGATGCGAGGGAGCCAGCCACGGCTCCCTGAATCATTGGCATCAGTTTGTCCACATCATCCACGCTTCCCTTCCAATCTGACACCTTCAGTGCAGTCATGACCTTCTGTATTTTCTCCTCAGCTGCCTTCTTGGCCTTTTCGAGCGCGTTGGAAGCATCATCTGTTGCAGCCTTCTGTCGAGCTGCGGCCAATGCATGCTCTGCCTCATGCAGCTCATTCTGAGCCTTTTGCAGCTTGCTCCTTTGCTCGGTTTCCTCCTTTTTCTTCTTGGCCAATTCCTGCCTCCACTCGGGGCTCAGTTCATTGTGAGCTCTTCGAAGAGCATGTTGGGCAGTCCTTGACCCTGGCGGCATTGCTGCGAGGACTTCCTTCATGGTGTTAGGGGCCATCTTGGAGATGTCGTCAACTTGCTTTTGCTTGAGGGTGGGCTCCATGCAAAAGTCCAGGCGGTTCTCAAGAAGCTGCTTGCGAAGAGGGTCTCCTTCGACATACAAGTCCATAATTGCCTGCTTCTGCCCAGCAGTGGAGTTCTCCAGAAGTGCTCGCAAGCAGGGTCCCTGCTTCTGCTCGTAAGGCAGCTTCTGTAGGGTCGCAACATTTGGACATTCCTGCACAAGCTTCTTGACCCAGTCGCTCTGCAAGTCGCCTCCACCAACGGTGTGAAGAGCGGACAAGATCCGGAGCTCTTCTCTTAGCTTGACACGCCGCGGATGATCCTCTGCTTGGCTCAACAGCTCCAGCGTTGGAAGTCCTACCTTCGGAATGTCCGCTTTGATCTTGGAATTGAAAACCTCTTTGCGCTCCTTGTTCAGAGGATGATCTTTCTCCTGAATCAGAGCAATCATCAACTCATCCTCATCTGCAATGTCCTCTTCAAGTATCCAGAGATGGTGCTTCTCAGGAAGGTCGAGAGATTGCAACGACTCAGGCAGCAGCTTCGGAAGGTGCGTTTGCGCCTTCTTCTTGTACTCCGCTTCTGTGGTATCGCCAGCTTGACGCGCCAACTCCATTACATGGAGCAGCTGCTTTTGGCTGGGGTCTTGCTCGAAGTCTTTCCACGCCTGGTCCATCTCACTTTGCAGATTTGCGCTCCTAAGCACTCTGACGTGAAAGGACAAGGTCTGCTTAACAAAAATGATCAGCCGTCGCGCGATCGGTGCAGACGAGGTGCCTGAATCAGAGACTGCACACCAGCCTTGCCTTGGCGACAAAAACCAACATGCACCAGCGAGAAGTCATGTCTGTCTCGAAGATGAGGCTCTGGCCACAGCAGATGTCGAGTGGCCACTGACCACTAACAACTGCACAGTGCACCCTCCTTCTATGCTAGATCAAAACGATCTGCAGCGAAGCATTCGAAATTTTGAAGCCCCTTCGCTGTTCGGGATGTGAACAAGATGCAGGACAAGTCCAAGCCCTGGCCATCCCTCGAATCGTTTTGCAATCTGCCGCTTCACACCACGGAGCTCAATGCGTTGAGATCTCCAACTCATTGTGATACTTGCTTCATCTACATGTACGAAGACCTATGGAAGCTTCTTCAGCTTCTAGTGATCAGTTGGAACTGGAAAGTTAAACACTTGTAGGTCCTTCCTGCAGCATCCGGCACACAGTAACTCTTGCACGTTGAGAGGCATCTCAAATTGGATGTACATATTTGGAAATGAGGAGCAGCCTTCCGGCAGCATTCTGCCACCCAGGAAAACTGCCCCAATTCTGGCAGTTCATTGAGAGGAGTTGCGGCGCAACGCGCCGCTTTCACATGCACGTCTCCTCAGCCACCTCAGCTGCAGTGCAGGAGTTTCCGGTTGAGGAGGCACGAAGTCATGCGAGACACCGGGCTCCCGAGCTGTGTGTGGGGCTGGAGGTGGGGTGCTGAGTTTGGCCTGGCAAAACCCATGAAACTCCGACGGTAAACATGTCTGGCCTTTTTAAGTGGTCCACGTGGCCTCCAAGAGCCTCTGTCGCCAACCAGCTTCCTGCAACAGGGCCTGGCAGGGAACATCCACCATGTTTGCGGGACTTGGTAGCATCATGGCATGGACAACCGACATGTGCTTGTCTACCAGGGATCAGCGAAGCACCCTGAAAGAAGCAGGCGCCTGAATCGCCGGCGCTTCTTGCTTCAGGTCCAGCTGCGACTCGGGCAACGCCGTGCTGACTGTTGAGCCACTTTGGCCAACCATTACTTACAGGACTTCTTGCCATGTCTTACCTCTGGTTGGCAGGGGATGAAGGAATAGATCCAATTAGTGGTTTTCCAAAACCAGTGCCTTTTTCATTCTTTCATTCCCTACTTGCAAGTGGTAAGCTGCTCAGTCTGCGCTCTGAGAGGGAAACTAGCCGGAGAGGCGACCTGAAAATGAAGCGCGGGCACCACAATTGCTGAATCGGTTCAAAGTTGTCGTGCCTTCTTCCTGGGATTCTTTGGTGTCTCCGGACAACGCCTGCCAGAGACTTGGAGTAATACTAGGAAAAGTAGCAGCAAGGAGAGGCCAATCCTCGCAAAACCAGAACGAGGTCGCGCCTGCTCGCCATTTCTGCGCCAGCACCGGCTGCCTGTCCCAAAATCCCAGGCATGAGTACCTTAAACCCCTAAACGCTAAACCAAAGTGCCACCCAGCCTTCGCCTGCTTCAAGGCTGCTTGCCTTCGAGTGTCCTGCTTCGGAATCACTGGGCCTTCATCCCAAGCAAACACCTTGAAGGCAATCAGCCAGCTTCCGCATATCTGGCCATGAGCACGTTGCCCCGCCTGCTCTTCGCCCAGCCAGCTTGGTCCCAGCCCTGCAAGATCTCAAATTGCAAGCGGAAGCAGGTTTGCACAAACGCGCAGAGTCTGAGGGCAACACTCTTGCGACCCTCGAAGACATTGACAACATACGGCCTCCGGAGTAAAGTTAGGCTAGTCACGGGCAGCTACGAAGGGTTTTCTTGCTTTCTACTGACCTGGGGTCGCTGGGCTTTGCAAACTCCAGTCGAAGCACCGTGCAGGGCCGCAAGGCAGCAGTCTCAACCTGGTTCGTTGAAAGAATAAGCTCTACAATAGGGAGTATATGACCCGAATATTCTAATAGTTTCCATTTTTCCATTATAACCCTGTAAACCCTATGTATCTGTCTATATATATATATGTCCATTTTTATATGGAATATATACATATACACATATGCACACATATATATATATATAGTTTTTCCTAGGCTCCGGGCCTTCTCCTTCACCCACGCCCACACGAAGTCGCCGGGACGCCGCCGCAGTGCACGGTGCGCCTCCGTGCAGTACGAGTAGTACCTGAGTGGGATGCTCCAGGTTTGTACTTTTCCCACTGCCCAAAGAATGGCCACAACTGAAGCACACCTCTGCAGCACTTCTCTACAAGTAGTAGGCCAATTCCATGTGAGCTATAGTCTAAAAGCCTAGTACCCCCTCAATAACCCCTATAATGCTCCCGATACAACTTCCTTTAGCCTAAGGAGTTTAGTCATGTGATGCAGGCATGCGGCCAGTTCTCATCGGAGCTCCCACGGTCCGTGACTGGCGGATCGTCGCAGGACATGTGGAAGGCCTGAGACGTAAATCTGCTGGACTTTGCTCCTTTGCCTACTGGTGCGTAGTAAGCATTGAAGGAAAAGCTCGTCAGGAACATGTTAAGATATGACAAGGCACTACGGCAGGGATCCAATCCTTCATTCCCTAGTAGGATTCTGTTCACCCCAGCCCGTTCCAGAATGGCGCGCAGTTACCAAACTCCTGTTGTCTACACGGGATTTTCCACAAGCATAGGGACCCCCAAAGTATTCTCCAATATAGCCTTGTACTCCTCATTGTAGGGATCCCCAATTTCCGGAACCCTCCCCAGCAGTTTTGGGTTCTGTTCATGGGCCTTGTCGCAGCGGTCACAGCGGATCAAGCTCCCTTTTCGGCCTGGGCTTGGTGGATCAGCCCCCTATTCAAACAAATCTTCTAGAGATTCAAAACCAAGATGCTGCACTCTTGAAAACCAAAATAAGTTCATGGCCCCCTAAACCCTAAACCAAGCAACTGGCAAACTCTACACCCACAGACTTTAAGCAAGGCGAACAGGGATCCGAAACCCTAAACTCTAAACTCTAAATCCTCATCCTGAAGCCGTCACACTTGGAGGGCTCTAGGACTTGAAAGTAGACATAGGGGGGTTTTCATTGATTAGGGGTTAGGTTTTTCAGGTTTAGGGCTTAGGGTGGGGGTCCTTTGCCTTGGGTGGTCCCCAAGCAAGCTGAGGTGCTTCCGGGAAGTATCACTACAGGTGAGAAGGCCACACCTGCCAGTACAAACTACGCAAGCTTGTCTACATTGCACCTTGATAGAACATAAGAGAAACAATAGTTGAACAACAGAATAATGACAACCATCATAAACATACAGCAGCAATAGTAACACTGACCATAACCATCGACATCAAACAATAGAATATAACAATGACAACACAAATAGGAATAGTTTAAGACTGGCAACACAATATGGTATTAACAATGGCAGATCTCTTCCCAAGCATCCAGCTTTGCATATCTCAGGGGCAGGCCGTATTTCTTCATGGCAAGTCTTCTGTACATATGTACCAAATGATTCCTGCGATGCAGCTGTAAACATCAGCTGTAAGTTCAAGCAAGTTCCTCATGAGACGGTGCTGAGGTCGTAGCATCACAGGCTCGTCATTGCAACCTTGGCAGCATGCCCATATGCCGGAGGCAATGCTCGTACCAAACCCGCTTCGAAAACGTATTCCCAAGATGCAGGCTGAACCATTCTCCATGTGTCGTCTCATTGCAACGATCAATGTACCCGATGCTTTGGAATCCCTGGACCTGCGCAAACGACAGTCTCCAGAGCGGCATGCACACCGTGAGCCCAAGCGGCGAACGCAAATGATGTCTGCGGGATGCCACAACCTGCCACGTCAAATGCCAAAAGTGCTTCTACGAAGGATCCCACCATTGAAAATTCACACGTATGAGCGTTCGTCGAAAACAGTTGCTAAGTCTGATGCCATGGACAAATCGGGGGTCCCGTCGCATTTCAATGTGTTGGCTTGGTGGTCAATGCAGGCATTGCCGTTCGGAGGTTTCGCGAGGTTTTGGGCAGGTTTAAACTTACAGACACAGGGGAATTGAAGCGATCACCGTAACAGAAATGGAACTACTAAAATAATCCGCAAATCCCTGTAAAGGCGCAAGGCGCCAGCGTCATAATTGCTTTAAAACAATTTGGCAAATCATCTGTGATGCCGCAATCAAGAGTTGACCCAAAGTCCCAGAACCCATCTGCTGGGACGCCGCTTGTCTTGTTGGGTGTAATCGCCCCAATTGCGACAATGCTCTCGAGCCCCTTCCCCCCTTAGCAAACTTGACCCTACTGTGGCGATGCAACTTTTTCGTAGAGGTTGTATAAAAGGGAATCAGTGCGATTCTACGGGAGCGTTACCTGGTGGGCTCAAGCCCTGGCGTGCCCCTTTTCCCTTAGAGCCTAAAAGAAGCTGCGGGTGCGCAGTGTTTTTTTTGGTATAGTTACACCATAGATCTATGGACTGAAGGGGCGTGTTGGTCACTAAGGAAGCATCGGGTTTGATTCGCAGCCCCAGGGGTCACGTCTCATGTGTCTGAGGCGGCAGCCCCCGCACCAATACGGAACCTCTCAACGATCAGATCTTGGTCGGGGACCGAGTTTAGTCTCCTGCAATTGAAACGGCTTGTCTCCACAAAAAGACAGCAACAACAACCCTACACCCTAAACCCTAAAAAGACAGCAACAACAATAACACTATGGTGGTAGTCGGCCATCGCTTTACAGACTTCTGAGCTGATCGGATCCTCCAAACCACGACAATTCCTTCATCCCAAAACAGAGTTTTCACGAACGTGTGTGAAGTTGCTTTCACAGAGCTTTTACGGACTCATCATCGCGGCGCATATTTACCGGCAATTTTCGCCGCCACTTGCTGTCCTTTCTCTGTCTAACTGCGAAACTTTCACCCATGCATGTGCATGGCCTGGCAGTCTCTCCTTCAACGTTGTGTAAACAAACTTCAATTCA